GTGTTGATGGCAGCAGCACAGCTGATATTTCTCTCCAGGATGGAGTCACAGCCAAACAGGAACAGACCAGATGAAGCTACTATGAGAAAAAAGTTTATTTTAGCTCCATTAATTTACATTTACTGTTTATCATTGTTCTCTCCTCTTTCTCTGCCTATTTCTCAACGGTTCATGTGCTTTTCACCTTGATTTAGATTTTATGAAAATTTTTAAGCTGTTATTAAAGTCTGATGGATTCAGGGTTTGTCCTGGAGGCGACGTCTGGGCGGCGTCATGTGGATCTTCTCTGCTTTTGTTTTTTCTTAGCGGTTTAATTCAGATTATTAATCAGTAACCGTTTATATTAGAGATCCCAGTATGAAGGTTCTGGAATCTGACAGACGATACCATGAGAAGGAATATCGTTCAGCTGGAATATTAGATTATGCTGAAGCTGTTTGTGATTGGCTGTTGATGATTGAAGGGCTGTCCTGTCATTTTAGTCACACTAGGAGTCTAGGAGTTTTATTCCTGCAATAAGAAAGACTGAATATCCGTCTTCATCAATATTAATACATGCATCAATATTCTAGTGTTTGTTATTAGAGTGAGGAGGCGAGGCGTTGCTGTGAACGGCGTCTCTAAAGATCAGTGAGCAAAGCGTTTAGATGAGAGACCCTGCGGCTCAGCGGTCCTCACAGCTGCTGCTAACCCTGCATCAGCTGGAGGGTAAAGCAGAGCTGAAAACAATGCAGTCGGCCTCCAAGAAAAAGTTTAATGGATGCAGATTTAGAATGAATAGAACCGTAACGGATCTGCTGGCTCTGTTTCTGATGCAGCAGCAGGGATGAGAGCTTTTCCAGGTTTATGGTTCTTCACGGAGGATTGGATCAGAACCTCTAAAAGTTTTATTAAACTTTCACTCCAGGTTTCCTCTGTCTGCTGAAACCTTCCTCTAATATCTAAGTAAATTATTTGTCACTATGGAGACAGAAAATTACTTCCTGTATATCATTTAGTAAACTGGCACCACTGGTTCCAGAGCTGAACTGGTCTTGCTGCTAGTTCCTGGTTTCTTGATTCCACCGCTAGTTTAGGGTTAAACTGTTGTTATTTTGGCACCAGATCTTT